AATGAAGAGAATTGAGAAAAAAAGCCATTAGTTTTGACAGTTACTGGATTATTAGTAACTTTGGAAAGAATAGTTTTAGTTGATTGATGAAGTAGGAATCAAGATGACAAGTCACTGAAGCAATTTTCAGCATTTTTTACACAATGGATAGTACTTAAAAATAAATGCAAAGAAAACAGAAGCAAGGCTAGAATAAAGCACAGACAAGCAGGGCAGTTTTGAAAGACAGGTTGAATTTATTATATACTTGGAAAGGAAAGTAAGCTGTATAGGGTAGAAATCCTACAATTTCATGTACAATCTTCTGTTCTACTAGGCATATGGAAATGCCCATTTTATTTGGTGTTAAGTTCAGAATAAAAAAGGTGAAGGAAACAGTAAAAGTGTATTTTTAGCAGGGGAAAATGTAAAAAAAAAACACCTTAATAGACATTCTTACAAGCATTTACTTTCTTTCTCTCCCACTCCCCTTCTACCCCAATTGAAAAAAAGAAAGTCAAAACCTTTGTAAGATAAATCTGTGTGTGTGTGTGTGTGTGTATATACATATATATGTGTGTGTGTGTGTATATATATATATATGTGTGTGTGTGTGTGTGTGTATATATATATGTATATATATAGTCGAACCAAAAAAAAAATTCCCATATTGAGCATGTCCAGCAATACAGGTCTTATTCAACATCTTGAGTCCATCACCTCTTTCTCTGGAGGTTAATAACATTCTTTATTATCGCTTCTCCAGAATCATGGTTGGTCATTCCATTGATCAGAGTTCTTAAGTGTTTCAAAGTTTATCTTAACAGTGTTCTTGTCAAGTCAACAAACATCTAAATTCTTATTGTTGACTTGCTATTATATAACTTGTTCTCTGCTCACTTCACTCTGCACCAATTCATACAAGTGTCAGATTTCTCTTTCATGATTTCTTATGGCACAATCATAATTCATATTATACCATAATTTCTTTATCCATTCCCCAGTAGATGGGCACCTGTTTAGAAAAATTCTTTACCCAGTAGTCAGCCTGGGTCTGTAGGCATGCAGTCCTGCACCAGACTCCTATGTAAGCCTTTTCAGCTTTGGAGAACCTACCAGAGATTATTCTCCACTGGCACAACCTTCTAGAACTTAGAAAATACCTGTGAAGAATACAGAAGAAACATCTATGAGGGAAGAGAATCAGGATAATTCAATGCCACATAATCAAGGAAGAGTAGAAAGTTTCAAGAAGGGGTGGCTGAAGGTATCAAATGCTACAGAGAAAGGTCAAAGTTAATACTTAATTACTGGCTGTTGTGATGGATGGCTGAAGCAGTGAGAATGAAAGTCATTGGAGTTTAAGTTAAGGAACTGTTAGAGCTAGGTTGTTAGATGACTCAACATGGATATTGATGTTATTTATGGTTAAAAGAATAGGCAAATTTCAGAGGATTTTGTGGATTTTTAAAAATTCCTCCTCTACCATCTGTTTTCATTGATGTGGCATCACATCACTAAGAAACCTTTGAGGTTTGTGTCCTTAATGTACCGCAAATATTTTCCTTTAACAAACCAGTGGCTTTAGCTGGTACTCTGAAAGCTCCAGTGTAAATTGATCATCCAACATACTGAGTTAGTTGACAGAGTTGACTGTTCTGCTTACTTATCTGGAATGGGTTAAATGCTTTGTACCCATTGTATTAAGAAAGAAAAGAAACCTGCTCTCTCAATTTCCATATTCCATCTTTTGACAATGGGAAGATGCTGGGTCCTGGGCATATGGCCCCAGCTTTTCCCAACTTGTCATTGCTACTTGGCTCTGATGTAACTGGATCAGAGTTGGACAGGTAAACGTGACAAGTAGTACAAAGTGTTACCTCCCCACTCCACTTTCACAACTTGCATTTGGTATTTAATTTATCTTAGGTACCACATAAAATTTTCATCTAAGTGTCTTAGGAAGAGTGGAAAGGGAACTGTTCTATATAATTATTTATAATCTACATTCTCACCTGGGAAGGATTTCTAATTTTTGCAAGATTGTAGTCAAGGAGTAGGTATTATCTGTATCTACCTAACCAGAGCTGATCCTCAGTAAAATTGTGAAGTAGGGGGAAGTTTATCCTTGGTGCTCTCCCACCTTGATGCTTATTACCCTCTGCCTCTTCCCATTAGAATACCCAATACTCTGTTCTGTTTCTCTTCTCTGTCAAAACTTCCCCCTGGGTAGCTGCCATGTTGAAAAGGATGTAAACGAATTCACACAAGTGTAAGTAACTGCTAGGGACCTATTATGTTTGCCCCTCAGGATTATTTTAGTTTGACAGAAGTCAATGCTTTAACTCATAGGAACAGACTTTTAGTGAAGTTTATTTATGTATCTGTGATGGGCTAGTTATATTGGCAGACCCAGGACTGTCCATGCATTACTTAATATAAATAGCTGCCAATTCCAGATGTAAAGCCTCCCTTGCATTCAGTTACTATTAATAATAATTACTGATGTTTACATAGTACTTTAAGGTTTGCAAAACATTTTTGATGCATAATCTCATTTAAACGTCACAACAGCTTGTGAAGTAGATACTGCAGATATTGTCATTCCAGTTTTATAGATGAGAAAACTCTCATGTGGAAGGAGTAAGTAACTTGTTCATAGTCACATAGTCAGTAGAATGAAGTTCCTTGAAGTCACCTTTTTTTTCATCTTTGTCTTTTTAACCGCAATGCCTAGCAGAGTATCTTGAAAACTATGGAGGCTTCATAAATGTTTCTTGAATTGCATTGAATTGCTTGTTCGGTCTTCCTGACTTCTAGTCTACTACTCTTTCCACTCTTCCGTCTTACATTTCCTACTTAGGAAACTCATTTTCAGTCATTGATTCATGTTGGAGACAAATCCATCCACACTTCTGTTTCTTGCCTGCTTTCTCTATTCTGATCATATTAGGAAAAGCTTCGGTTAGGTGGAGGTGAGTAGGGTTGAGGATAGCTTAGTTCCCTGTCACTAAAAGTTAGAATCATAGAATTACAGAACTGGAAGAGATCATAGGAATATAGATTTAGAGTTGGAAAGGACCCAGAAGAAAGGACTCATCCAACCCCTTCATATTATAGAGGAGAAAACTGAGGGCCAAAGAGGTTAACTAAATGTCTTAGCCAAAGTCTTCCAGGCTGTGCATGGCAGAATTGGGATTGAGTATGTCCTTTGGCTCCAGGGTCATCTTGTCTGATCTTCTCATTTAATTTCATTTTAGAGATAAGGAAAATGAAGCCAATTGAGGTAAACTGATTTATGTGTAAACAGATGCTAGTTAAACCACCTGTTAAGGATGTTGCAGGGAGGATTCCTGGTGGAAGGTAATATACTTCTTTTACCTTGATCTTAGGCTATAGCTCCCAGATCCAAAACTTGGTCCTGCCACTTACTACGTGTGTGACCTTGGGCAAATCATTCTCTATAAAAAGAGAGGGTTCAGTTAGCTCATCTGTGAGGTCTTTTCCATCTGCCCTACACTTAAGCAACTACTAGCTATATCAAGCAATAGGTTTTCAGTGTTTAAATCTATAATTAATAGTCGTCAGGGCTTCCTATGTTGTGCACTATATTTTTCTTTTTCAACATTTCATAGAATAAGAATCACTGAGTTTAGGTTTGGAAAGGACCTTTCAGAGGCCATTTATTCCAACCAAGGCCTGGAAAAGTACCTCCTGTACTATCTAACAAGTAGTCACTCAGTCTTTGCTTGAAAAGATGAGGTGAGGGGGCAGCTAGGTGGCGCAGTGAATAGAGCACTGGCCCTGAAGTCAGGAGGACCTGAGTTCAAATCTGGCCTCAGACCAAACACTTGACACTTACTAGCTGTGTGACCCTGGGCAAGTCACTTAACCCCAATTGCCTAACCTCCCCCCCCCCAAAAAAGAGAGAAAAGCTGAAAGGGAACTCAGGGCTTCTCCAGGTAGATTATCCTCCCTTTTTTGTTTCTCTTCCCTCCTCCTCCTCCTCCTCCTCCTCCTCCTCCTCCTTCTTCTTCTCTCTTTCCCACCCTCCCCTTTCTCCCCCCCCCTTTCATTAAACCAAATGTGACTTTGTAGCTTCCAGCTGTTGCTTCAGGTTCTGACTTCTGGAGCCAAGCAGAACACATTTATTCCTTCTTTCATGTGGTAGTCCCTCAGATACTTGAAAATAGCCATTAGCTTCTCCCTTCCTCTCTGTGCAGGCCCCCTCCTCCCCAGTCTTCTCTTCTCAGGGCTAAACATTCATAATTCCCTCAGCCAGTCCTTATGCACTCAACATCCTTTAATGAATTGGTGCTCCTGTCAGTGTAAGTATTCTTGCATTAGTATAGAACACAAACCACTCACCCCTGTCCTTTCTTTGTTCTTTATAAACTCCACAAATGTCCAATTCAACCTGCTAGAAGACTATCTCGAGAGTGCCAGTGAAGCCCTCTTAAGCTGTGCTGCTCCTTACTCAAACCTCATGATAGGCCTTTATCTCCTTGTTTAATTATACATTTCACCAAATCATTTTGGGCCTCGGTAATCATTGGAGGTACCTGCAGTTTCCTTGTGCCCACCAGACATCTTTCCATCGCCATTTGGACAACTTGCAACTTTTAATTCCTCACAGATCGTGGTATCAGAATATTTACAACTGCAGAGCATCATGTTGAAAAGATGGGTTTTTGAACTGGGAAGCAGCGTGGGGTTATCAAAAGCACTGTGCAGTTGTATATTCATCCTATTAAAATGTTTTTTGAAGTGGATAAGGGTAATATCTGCATATATTTTCTCCATTATAATGAGAGGGGTATATTCTTTGCCACTATGTACACTGTGACCAAATCTGTGGAACTGTGAGGTCCATTATCATGGCATTTTATTGACGTAAGACTGTAAGCCCTAGGGGCAGTGACTCAGTCATTGTGCATTGCTTTGTGCCTTGCCAATCAAAGTGCAGCTTGCAAATAGCTTAAGAAATGCCTTATGATAATGCTATGTACATGTCCTTTTAGCTCCAGCTCAGACATCATAAGAGACCTCATAGAGGAAAAGGAGTTTTTGGAATTAAGGTAAGTATACATAGTCATTTATCTGAATAATTCAGTGGATCCATGATCTCATTGATATGGGTATTCCTTTTATCAATGCATATCACATCCTATATTGCTGTCTCATCATGCACATCTTTTGTTTTGCTCTGCTAGTAATCTTCTACTCGATGTACTGAGCACTTTCCTCTACCTCTCTTGACATCAAATAAATACCAATAGAGTGTGCAAGCTATTATTTATCCTTCACTTTCAATGTGTGACTGACTCACCTTCTTTTCTAGTCATCTATCTTTCTGATGACATTTTACAAAGGAATTGACTAGGGTTCCAGGAGCAGATTATGTCTGTTTTCCAAAAACAAGCTTAGCTAAATACACAGAAGCTCAGTAGGCCAGCCACCTGGTAATAAATTCTTTGACCATGGCAACCCATGAAACATAATCTCAGCTTTCAAAATTAATGTATACCATGAACTAGTAAATTATTATAAATATTTAACCAATTTGTTAGATCAAGTAATGTTTATGCACAATCTTATTTAAACAAATTATACCCATGAGGGCTAGAATTGTTTTTGTCTTTTTATCTCTGACACCTAGCACAGGGCTCTATATAGTTAGACACTTCAAATTAAATGTAATGCTACCAGTTTGCATTCATGTTTGTATATTTTTTCCCAGAAATGAGATCAGAGAGCTAGGATAACCTGATTAGTGAAAGAGTGCAGGTTCTCACTCAGGCCCCAGTCAGATGATTGAGTACACACTACCACAAGCTATTCCGAGACAGAGAACTCAATATGCTTTTTTTTACATTTTCATAAGAGCTCTTTCCCAGTCTTGCTCCTGTCTTTTTACTTAATGAGTAGACAGCAGAGCAGCTGAGGACTATCTTTGAAGAGTAAAGAGAGAATTCAAGTAACAAATATATATTGTACATCTGCTGTGTGCAAAGGAGTGTGCTAGGTGCTGGTTGGGTTCAGAGTTTAAGAGTCAGCAAGGCACTTACAGCCTATTGGACACTGGATGGCAATTGTTTTATAATTGGCTTTTGAAAGAGCTGCCAGAATTCTGACCATTCTGTAGAACTGATCATGTGATATGATTATTCATGCTACTTCTAAGACTAGTCACACTGATAGATTTACCATTCCTCAGACAGTCCTTTTTTTTTTTTTGCCTTCGCTTATGCCATTTTCTCAGCTGATAATGACCCCTCTGGCTGCTATTCCATGGGTTCAAATCATGCCTCCTTGAAAGATCAGACATCCTTCCTACTCTCCATCAAATCTTTCCAGCTTTGTACAACCGACAGTGATTGCTCTCTTCTCTAAACTCCTCTCATTCATTGTTTGGCTCGCTTATTTGGCTACTAACCATGTACTGCCTTGTATTCCTACTTAAATTATTTTCTTTATTATAAGTTTTGTGGTATTAGCTTTTTTGTTTTCATATGTTGTCTGTGGTTAGACAGTAGTTTTCTTAACTGCGTGACTGTGTCTTTCATTTCTTTGTATTTGGTACCATTCCTTGCACAGGTCAGCCATACAGTCCTAGTCCTTAGTAATTACTTGTTTGCTTATTTTGCATTTATAATAACATGGGCCCCTTTGAGAGTCATAATTATTCAAAAGTACTTTACATATCTTGGAATATTGTCTAGGCAGCTACAAACCCCTGTCTCCTAAGAGCTTACACTCTCGTATAACTTAAATGGAAATAGGAAAAATATGAATGGCTTAGATTCATCTGAAAAAAGCAGCAACTCACAAATGTCCTTTTCAGATTTATGGGCACATTTGAAAGGAACCTAAATCACATATTTTAAATATTACTCTGAGAGCATACTGAAGTATCTACATTCTACCACACTCTCCTAATTCCTTAGCTATCCAGCTTTCACGGCAGCACATTATCCCAAATAAGGTAATATTTTCACAAGCAGAAAAGAAATTTGGCTCCCACGGTACAAATGCTTGTTCTTAGGGCAGTATTTTTTGGTTTGGCTCTGGTTTTCTTGGGCATGAGGTAGATTTACCTGCATTTCCAAAACAATAAGAAGTAAGATGAAAAAAAAATGATCAAGGTTAAATAATAAGTTGAGAAGATTTCCATTTTACTATACTGTCAACTGCAATGCTTTCCCATCACACTGGGTAGCATAGGTAAGGGTATCTGGAAATTGTACTTTTATACTATGGACAACTTCAGGAACTATATAAGGAATGAAAATCACTCTTTGTTTTTTTAAATGTTACCTTTGCAATCTGTTGCCATTTTGTCTTAGAAGTCCACTGGGCATCAAATTAGAAAAGACATTTCATTGGTCTCCCTACAAAATCTGAAAATGTAGGCCTATCTTCTTTTTTAATAATCTAATTTTTATCTCAGTGTCATTAATAGCAAACCATTTGTCTATTACCTATGAGCTTTTCATGTTTTTGAAGAAGGCATATTTATAATTTTACCATCTAAAAACCCTACCATTAGCCCCTCAAAGTGATCTGGGTATAATATTTGTAACTTTTCCAACTAATAATATTCACATAGTATTTCTTTAGAAATGAAATATTTATCTATGTATCTATGTATCTGTTTATCTACACCTAGGAAAAGCTGTCTACAGTCATTGATGCCACTTCCTTTCCTTTTACCCCTTCTCAAACAATTGCAACATGGTTTCTGACCTGATCATTCTACTGAAACGACTTTCTCTAAAGTAGCAGTGATCTCAGCTTTGCTAAATCCTTTGGCTTTTTAAAAAATCTTTATTTTTCTTGACCTTTCTGTACTATTTAACAATGCTAACTGCCCACCCCTCTTGGATACTCTGTCCTCTTTGGGTTTTCATGACATTGATCTTTCTTGGTTCTCCTCATACTTGTTTGCTCATTCTTAGCCTACTTTGCTGCGTCTGCATCCTTTCTTTGCCTGCTAATTTTAGGTGTACTTCCAGGCTCTGTCCTGGGTTCTCTTTTCTTTCTACAGTATCTTACTTGGTGATATCACATCAGCTCCCAATGGCTCACTTGTCATTGCTGCACAGGTGATTACTAGATGTACATATCTAATGATGTTCTCTCTCTCTTTCTCATTTGAACTTTAGTCCCAAATTACCAACTGCTTAGTGGACATTTTGAACTAGATGTCCTATAGACATCTCAAACTTAACATGTCCATGGCAGAACTCATGATTTCCCCCCTAAAACTTGCCCTTCTTCCTAACTTCCTCATTTCTGTCTAGGGGTCCACTGTCTTTCTAGTCACCCATGTTTGCAACCTCCAAGTCATCCTCAACTCCTTCCTCTCCCTTACTCTACATATCCAATCAGTTGGCAAGTCTTGTAGATGCTCCTTCTGAAACATCTCACATCAGTCACCTTCTCTCCACTCACAGAGCCGCCATCCTAATTCTGGCCCTTATTACCTCTTCACTATATTGTTGCTCTAACCTCCTAACTATTCTTCTTGCCTCATGTCTCTCCTCTCTTGAATCCATTCTCAGTGTAGCTACAGAAATGATATTCCTGAAGCAGGTCAGACTAGCTTACTCCCCTGCTAAATAAACTTCAGTGGCTCCCTTTTGCCTTTAGAAACAAGTGAAGCCTTCTGTTTGGCATATAATACCACTCACAACCTGGCTACAGTCTCATTATGTATATTATACTTCAGCACTCTTTGGTTCAGCCTAATTGACCTTTTTGTTATTCTTCTCTCTGTCTCCAAGCCTGTGCACTAGCCTGGAATGTACTTCCTCCCTACCTCCACATCTTATAATCCTGTGTTTTCGTTAAAATTCATCTCTAAAACTACATACTACATGAGCCCTTTCCTTAATTCCCTCCAGCTGCCAGTTCCCCTACCCCTTTGTATTTATTTGCACTGAATTACTTTGTACTGTATATATTTTGTATATACTTAAACATGTACATATTATCTACTTCAATAGAACGTAAGCTCCTTGTGGACAGAGATTGGTTCATCTTTGTCTCTGTATCCCCTGCTTACCTATAATTTTGATTCTTCATAGATTGTGTTATTCCAAGGCTTGTAGCCATATATCACTGTAAGAATATTGGTATTGAGAGACTTTTTAAAAATCATTGAAAGCATTACAGAATTTCCTAAATATGAACTTACCTGATCTCTTCCTCATATTCGGTGTTGTGCCAAGCCCTGTCAATGAGATTGCAACCCTTCCATCTACCTCATTCACCCAAGATCTATATAATGGTGGATTAACTTGAGAAACAGCTCTTCCAATTATATGTAGGCAATGTGCATTTTTAATCTACTCTGTTTTAGCATTGTGGATGGTTACATCAGTCTTTTGGCGAGAAGAATGTTCATTTGTAGTGTGCAAAGACTAGATGTACTTTCTACACTTTAGAAGCATTAAGTGACTTTTAATTGCATTTTTCTACAAATGGGGGCACTTTTAGAACCGTGTTCCATTCCATGGAACATAAGAAAACTTTAATAAAAATGTATTGTAGAATGTTCTCTTTTACTTAGGTAGCTAAAGGTAAGCTAAGACCCAGAGAAGTTCATTGAATTGTCTGAGGCCACATACTTAGTGAATTGCAGAGTCAGCACTGAAAACCAGATTTGATGAACAGGACAGGGTTCTTTCTACTATGGTAAGTTGCCTAATGTAATTTGGACGGCTGTGTGGTTTAGTAGAAAGATCACTGGACTTGAAGTCATAAGACCTGTGTTCTAGTCTTTGGCTTTTTTCACTTATTAATTCTTATTAGTGTTTTTCTGAACGAGTTTCTCAATGTTTCCTTCTAATTCTAAATGTATGGTCCTATGAACCATATACAGGTCTGTTGACGCAGATTAGTAATTATTCTGCTTTTCATAATCTTAGGGAATTGTCTGAGATGCTGAGAGATTAGATGACTTGCTTAGGATCACATCCTAATAATCAATAATAATAATTAGCATTTATGAAGCACTTACTGTATGCTAACACTAGGCCAAGCACTTTTACAATGATTATTTTATTTTGATTCTCACCCTGGGAGGTAAGTACTATTGTTACCTCCATTTTACAGTTGAGGTAACTGAGGCAAACAGAGGTTAAGTGACGCACAAGAGCATATTGCTGCTAAGTGTCTTAGGCTGGATTTGAACTTTAGCACTATTCACTGTGCCTTCTGTCTGCCAGCATTTATCAGAAACAGAACTTGAAAACAAGTCTTCCTGCTGCCTCTCTTTCTTAGTTACCTTTGTGGAAAATGAAATATAGGTCTCTAGACAGGGAATTTTTATAGAAGGTGATTTTTTAATTTATACCATCATTTCATTAAGGAATCAAGACTGCTTTTTTCTAAGCTTGGGAATAGAATAGTTTATTTAAATAGACAATACCAAATGTAATATAAAAGGTTGGAATGACACAAGTAGAATGAATACAAGGGAGTTGACATGCCAGTACTTTGTAATAGCATATTGACATTTTCATTCACAAAGAGCCAATTTTAAGGACTCCGGTTTAAAGTTTATAATGTATTTTGGAAGTATTGTGACTTTAAATTGCCTTTTCCTAAGTGCTTTTTCATTGGCATTGTGCCCTAATATAAATCACAATACTTCTAGGCAGACTGAGACAGTTTTTCATTTTACTTCTACTTGCTTGTGATTTATTGGTGAAACCTATTAAGAAATTGGACCCAAAAAAAATTCTCTCATGTTTTCCAAGTTGTTCTGGCATCCTGTTGCCCAAGTTGTTACATTTGTGTCCCCAATATACTTTTGTTGGCTTCACATTTCTTATTCAAGTGGAAAGAGCTATGGAAGAAAGTCAACTTTGCTTCTGTGCCCCATAGTCATTGTTAGGCAGTGACGGAAGCTTCAGTTCTCCCTCCCTGAACCAGGGTGACATCACTGAGAAATCTCAGCCAAACTCCTGAATTGATGCTCCTTTTTGGTGTAGAGTAGATTGCTTCTTTTTGCCTAGTAGAGCATGGGAATCTCTACTAACAATATTATGGATTAAATTTATGAGAAAGGAAACAGTCATCTTTATGTGAGAAACAATTTCTTTATTGTGGACAAGGATGTATTAGATTTTATTTTGTAAATGGTGTAATTAGATCAAGAAATGTTAGCTTAACAGCTCCATCAGATCATACTGAAACTAATTTGTCGTTTATTAGCAAAGGACACAATAGCTGTGTTCAAGTCTCTGTGTGACTATTATGAGGAAGGTGGATTAGATTGGTTCTTTTTTTATCCCAGAGGACAGAACCAGTAATAATTCATGGAAGACAAATTTAAGCTCCATGTTCTTCCTAATAATTGATGCTGGCCAAAAGTGGAGAGGGCTATCCCAGTGGATAGTGTGGTCGTCCTTGGAGTGAGCAGAAGTTGGATAACCAAGACTTTTGGAGTATATTTTTTCAGGTATAGGTTAGACTAAATGACTATTAAAGTCCTTTATAACTTTAAAATTCTGTGATTACTGAATATCTAAGAAAGGAACTGGTGATCTTAGAGACCTGACCCCAGCATGATTTCCTTAAGAACGGATCATGCCAAACTTAATTTATTTACTTTTTTGACATGATTCCTAAACTGATAGTTCAGAAGAATGTCCTGGATGTAGTTAATTTAAATTTTTAGCAAAACATTTGGGAAAGTATATCATTCTATTCTTATATACAAAGATAGAGAGATGTGGTTTAGATAATAGTATGGTTAGATGGATTCAGAATTGTATGAATGGCCAGACTCAAAGATTAGTCATGAATAGTTTGACATCAACTGGAAGGAGGTCTCTGGTAGAATGCCTCAGGAATATAAGCTTGGCCTTTTGCTGTTTAATATTTTTATCAATGACTTGGATAAAAGGAAGATGATACAAAAGTCTAGAAGGTTGGTGGTACCCTCAGCAGTAATAAGGAACTTTGTAAGATGGTAGATTTGTGGAGAAAATAATGAATTCTCTTTTAGACATGTTCAATTTGAGGTGCCTGTGGAAATCTAGGTAAAAGTATTGATAATGTGGGACTGGAACAAAGGAGAGTTGCTAGAGCTAGAATCATTTTCATAAACATGGTAATTGAATACATGGAAAGTGATGAAGATCAATAAGGAAGTGCATATAAAGAGAGCAGAGAAGACAGTGTAGGACAAAGCCTTGAGGATAAAGATTCAGCAAAGGTGACTGAGAAGGAGTGGTCAGACAGATAGGAGGAAAACCAAGAAAGAGCAGTCACAAAAATCCAGAGAGGAAGGAGTATTCAGGATGACAAGGTGGCTGACTATGTCAAATGGTGTGGGGAGGTCAAGAAAGATGAGCATTAAGAAATTGCCATTGGATTTGCCAATTGAGAGATCATTGGTAACTTTGGAGAGATCAGTTTCAGTTGAAAATGGGATCAGAAGACAGATTACGGAGGATTTAAAAGAGAAAGGGAAAACACATTGACTGATAGAATCTTAAAGTATCTTGACAAGCTAAAAGATTGGACTGAATCTAAATAGATGACATTTAATAGAGATAAATAGGCTGCATTGCTGGTAGATTCACAAGTAAACAATAAGGCAGTCATGGCCTAATGTGTTTGGAGGGAAAAAGTCTGGGGGGGAGGGGTTATTGTATTTCAAACTCAGGAATAGTGTGATATGGCAACCAAAATAGCTTATGCAATATTGGGATGCATTAAGAGATGAACAGTTTTCAGAAATACACAGATGATAATCCTATGGTGTAGTCCTATTCTCACCCTAGAATATACCTCCCCCCTTTTCTCTCATTGATATTTTTTCCCTAGAACCTTCATTTTGTGACAGGCCAGTCATCCATCATTTTATTTGCTCATACTGGTCCTGACTCTCTGGACTTCACCAACCCCATGTGGGTACTTTCCCCCACTCCTACCACCCATTTTTAAACTTCGTCATATATGTTGTCTTCCTCCATTACAATATAAACTCCTTGAAGCTAGGGACTGTCTTTTTGCTTATGTTTATATTCCCAGCACTTAGCATAGTGCCTGGCACATAGTTAAGAACTTAATAAATGCTCATTGACTGACTGTGACTGCTATACTCTGCCCTTATCTCTAGACTGCATCTGGAGTATTGTGTTCATTTCTAAGCATTGTAGATTAAAAAATACTGAGATAAGTAGGAAATCAGCCAGAGGTATACAATCAACATGGTGACAGGCCTTGACTCCTTTCCATATAAGAATCAATTGAAAGAACAAGGGATGTTTAATAACTAAAAGATTGTCATGTGGAAGAGGGATGAGACTGGAACAATTGATGGAAATGGCAAAGAAGCAAATTTCAGCTTGGTATTAAGGAAAACTTCCTACTTATTAGAGTTACTCCTAAGTGGAATGAGTTGTTTGGGGTGGTAGTAAGTTTAGCCTTGGGCATTTTCGAAAAAGAGACTAGAGGACAACTTGTCAAGTATATTACTAAGGGAATGCTTTTTCAGGTATGAATTGGACCTGAATAGCCATGGAGGTCCTTTCTAATTCTAAAATTCAGTGATTTTGTGAAATTAAGAAAATATAGAATGTCTTTGCTGAGTTTTCAGAAATGTTATTTGGATTCTTTCTAAGATGTCACTTTTTTTCTTTATTTCCAGAAGCAGAAATAAAAGCAAGAAGATGACCACTAGAAAAACATGTCGTTCAAGGACACCAGAAAGCAACTGTAACGATAGAAGAAGTAAGCGTATCAAAAATTAGACGTCCTGCTGACTTTTCTAAGTACAGGGATCAAAGTATGATACGTTTTGTTATCCTAAGGATTTCATATTCTTTGTCCTGTCTGTCCATCAGGAAAGCTAAAATTCTCAAATTGATTGTTTACGTTGCTGACAGTAAGTTACATTTAGGCCGACTTAGGTTTAACACAGCCTCACGCAAACCAAACAAATCCTAAACCTTGCTCATTTGATCCTCCATTCCTCCCCCCTCACTGAACATCTTCATACACAGCCATACCCCACTCCCATTGAGGGTGCAATGCTATTGGCATAGTGGCAGACCTCTTGGGTTTGTGTTTCTTAATCATAAAATATCCCTCCTGGGTCAATTATTCCCCCAGTCCAAGGGCTTCTACTTCTTTCCCACTCCAGTGAAACTGGCAGTAGGAAAACTTGGTGGTGGGAAAAGACAGGAGGGCATGTCCATGGAAAGAAGGGTATAGGCACTCAGGGGAGCATTTATTGATGTGTCTGATTTAGACACATAACAGTATCTAAATTACAGTGATTTCACGTATTAAATCCTGGTGGATTTAACTTAGCAAAATGTTATCATGCATCTAGCTCATTGACAGCCTTTTAACTTTTGCATAAAAGACTAATTAATATTTTCATTTAAAGTCAGCAATGTTCTGAAATAATTATAAAATGTATTACAACTCTTGAAAAGGCACTTAAAGATTTAAATGACTCCATTGATTAATATTTGTACCTATTAATTCCTAAACCATGTTCTTGATATTTTGTATTCTGACAAAATTTATGAGTAAATGGATTAAATATTTCATATGTCAACCTAAATATGCCTTTATATTAAAAGTAAAATTGGATATGTTATGTATTGGCACAACAGATGCTTCACCAACAAGCACTCAAACAAATCCCTTTTAGAAATACATTCCCAGGGGCAGCTAGGTGGCGCAGTGGATAGAGAACCAGCCCTCGAGTCAGGAGGACCTGAGTTCAAATCCAGCCTCAGATACTTGACACTTCGTAGCTGTATAACTCTGAGCAAGTCACTTAACTCCGATTACCTCACAAAAAAAAAAAAAAAAAATCCCAGAGAAAATAGTTTGATTATAAGTTGTGAGTAGAAAGGAGAGAGATGCACCCTTTAACTTTGCAGTATAGTGCTAATTGTTGGCTGTTGTGTTTGACCATAGTTTTTTTGCCTCTCTATGTTGACTCAGTTTACATTGTTGTAGCCATTGTGTATAGAATAAGCCCTTAAAAGGAAGGATATATACTATGAATACTTTAGCCATTAAATTATCTTGGGCTAGGAGGAATTCTTACCTGCCTGTAGAATGACTGCTGATGTCTAATAAATGCTTATTGAAACATTATCTGGTGTCCCCTCCCCAGATTTCTCAAAGCCCCAAATCTCTACCTTTCCACTTAGCATGCTGAGAGTTCATTAAAGGACAGGAGCAAGCACTAGTAATATGACGACAACACATTTCTAAATGTGCCAGTGACAACATTAATTTCTGCCTGTTTCCAAAGTCTGTCTCCATTGACCTTGGCTTTTCATTATATGTTTGAGAACTGAAGTTAAAAAGTGGAGTCTTAGTATGTCTGAGGGATGAGTAATTTCCTAATCAAAATGACATTTTGTCTTTTTTATGACTACCCTGTATCCTATAGTTACATAAGAATGTCTCGTTTTGATAAGTGTGATTTGTTATTTTAAAGGAACTTGAAGTAGAACTCTTGAGTCCAGAAGGAGATCTTACAGGAGGCAAATGTGAACAATTTTAACAAAATAGTGCATAACACTGAAGGATTTTTATATCCATGCTACACTTTACACTAAAAGGAGGCATCATATTTAATTATGTAACAGTCTGTTGTGAATTGTTCTCCAAGTTCACCGTGCCATTTCTTTTCTCTGTGACTTTATGCATGTCTGGAAGGTTCTGCCTCCTTATCTCCAGCTTGTAGAATCCATAGCTTTCCCTATATTGAGGTATTCCCTTAATCTTCCATCTTCCTTGTGAAGCCTTTTCTGACCCCTCTCTCCACCCCGAATTGTGAATGTTCTCTCCCTTCTGAAATTACTTTGTATTTATTTACTTCTCTGTATACATGTTGCATCCCTGAAAGCAATGTGTCAGCTCCTTGAGGTTAGAGACTGCTTTGTTTTTGTCTCTGTATTCCCAGCGCTCAGTGCGTAGTCAGTGCCTAATAAATGGTTGTTGAATTAAGTCAGTAGCTTCCTTTTAGTTGAAAGATTTAAAAACATCCCTTTCATCTCAGCACCATCAAGTGAAACATAAAGTTAAATTGTTTTTCTACAAATAAGTACTGCTTTCAGAAACTTCTATAACAAATTATAGCAATTCTTTGCTATTATAAAAGGCTTAATTAGTACCTTGAACATTTGGCCTTCCTACTCTGGGTTTATTTTGTTTGCCATGTGGCAATTTAGGACTGTTACAACAATACTGATGTGACAATTGCATATTTAAATATCCTGAATAAAGATAACATGTTGCCGATATGGGAATGTGAAAGTTCTGTCCCATCATTAGTAGACAGCATACCTGGTATTGTAGAGACTTTTTTTTTCAGTAGCAGAGGATTTTTGTTCAGTCACTGGTATTCTCACCTAATTCCCTTTATTGTGAGAAGTAGGAATTTAGAAGAAGACTGTCCAAGGTTGGGACTATCATCTGTGAACAGTTTTTGTCTGTGTGGTGCTGGTTGGCTGGAGGAAGATGAATTTATGACCAGAGCGTCATTATTAATATTTTCTAATTAGCTGGATTATGAGGAACAGATACTGTACCTCAGCTCTGTCCTCTGAGAAATTACATTGAACAAGCATCTAAAGTTGATAATGGTCTAGAGAATATCTTGAAGCTGACTTCATTCTGGACATTCACATCTACTTTGACTGGCTTGGGGAATCCTAAGCTATCCAGATCTTTGCTTTTATTCATTCTGGAGCATATACAAACCCCTAGAGTGGCCCACTTTGCACATTAGGCTCTCAAGACTAACTCAGCACAGACTTATTTAGATTGTGTACCTGAACCCTCTCCCAGACCAACCTAGCCACACTTGCTCTCTTTACTCCCATGGATATCTATCCATTTTGGCCCAACTTTTGTTGTGATGTCCCATCAGCATAATGCTGGAAGAAATCAAAGAGTTAAGTAAAACAACCCATTCTATGCAACATTATTATGCAAAAGCTATTCAAGCAGATACTTAACTTCTGGAAATACTAACCTTTCCTTGTAATTCCCTCTGGCAGGTTATTGAAAATACTCTAATAGACGAAACAAGCAAAAATCTGGAAACTCATAAAAACTTTTTTTGATCAATTCAATGCCAACACAGACTTGTTCTTTTAGTTATCAAAATGATCAAACATTAAAAATTCTTAGGAAAGAAATAATGAGTGATTTCTCATCCTTTGGAGAGTTGGTAAATCAAGTGCAAAAAAACCCCCAAAACTAGCTTTTGGGCTGAATCAAAGAAGATGAAATGTAATAAATGTGATATATTACACTTGGCTTCACAAAGTGACTAATAAGTATAAGATAAGGGAAGCATGTCAGCAATTTGAAAAAGATCTGAGGGCTTTTGTAGATAGGCTCAGTATGAGTTGTTGTTAGCCCTGTAGTCTACCCTGATCAGATGACACACCTATGGATTATTGAGTTCCATTAGATTATTGGCATCCAAAGTACTACTGGTTTGGTAAAAGGCCCTTTAAAGAGTGAATGACTGGATTGATGGACAAATGAGTGAAAAAACTTTACTGGGCACTGTGTTAAGTAGTGGCGACATAAATAGAGAAGATAGCCCCTGCTTTCAAGTAGCTCACATTCTAATAGGAGGAAAAAACACATATATGATAGTGAACTGTAGGGCAGATGGAAACACCCAGTGGGCTTAGGATATCACCAGCAAGGAAGATGGTAATACATCTTCTTTAGTGTCATGTTGCTTGATAAAAACTTTATCTGTTTTTGAGATTGAACTATTTTTCAGTGCTAAAGACTTTGGTGATGAGAACTTTCTTTTCCGGGTCATAAATAGCTGTGGCTGCCAATGGGAGGGAGTTACAGCATCTACAGAGACAGTTACCAGGTTCAGCCTCCATAGGAATTGCTTCCCTGGATGTAATTTCGAGGACTAGGCTGGAAGCAAGGCTAGTGGTCAGTGGGCTTACTTCATTTTATCAATTGTAATTCCTTACAGTGCAATAATATTTATTACATTTATATGCCACATTTTATTCACCCATTCCCCAATTGTCTAAGAGGCAATCTAAAAGATGCCTTTACACTCTAGTTCTTTTCTTATTTTACCCTCTTTTAATCCTCCCTTCAGGATCAGGGAGTTTGTTTTGCTTGTAACTCTTCTCAGTATCATCCTCCCTCTTGACTCCCTTTTCCTGTGCCTGGTTGTTTTCCTGTTGGGTTTGACTAATGTTCATGCCATTTTTTGCACGTGCTCTCTCTCTCTCTCTCTCTCTCTCTCTCTCTCTGTTAAACCCTCCTTTGTCTCTGTCAGGTAAGAGTGAAGTTCACCTGATTCCCACTCTCCCCATCTTTTTTTCTCTTGTTCATATATTTTCTCGTATACCCCAATAATGAGAAATAGCAAGTTCCACCACCTCTACCTCTTTTCTACATGATTATATCCCTCATTTTACCCTCACTTCTCTTTTTCCTCTTTAGACCCTCTAAGCAGAAACAATCCACCCCAAGGACCTCTTTTTTTTTTTAAATATATATATATAGATATATATATATAGATATATAACTTCCTCAATACCCTTTGAAGACACCAAATTTCTGAAAAAAACTTTTTCTTCTCCAGAATAAGAATGTTAGCACTATATAATCATATAGCTCCTTTCATTTGTTCAAATTAATGTATCTGTCTAGGTTTCTCTGGACTCTTGTATTTGTATTTAAAAGTTTATACTCAGCTCTGGTCTTTTCATCATAAAAGTTTAAAAGTCCTTTATTCTGTTAAAGGTTCATTTTTTGGATTATACTCATCTTTTTGGGGTAAATTGTTCTTGGTTGTAAGCCTTTATCTTTTACATTTTGGAATATTGTATTCCAAGATCTTTTGTTTTTAGTAGAAGGTGTCAGTTCTTGTGTGATTTTGACTGTAGTTCCTTGAAACTTGAACTCCTTTCTGAATGCTTGCAGTATTTTTTTTTCCCTTGGATATGGGACTTATACATTTTGGCGATGATATTCCTAGGGCCATTCCTTTTAAATGATCAGGGGATTTTTTCTATCTTTATTGTAGTATCTGATTCTAATAGACAGTTTTCATTTGTGATTTCTTGAAATATAGTTTCCAAGGTTTTTATTTTAATTAGGATTTTTAGTAAGTCCAGTGATTCTTAAATAATTTATTTGGTTTTCCTAGTTAGTTATTTTGATATCAAATATCTTACACTCTATGTTTTCAATCTTTTGTTATGGTTCAAACATATCTTGCTGTCTTGATTCTGTTTCTTGGATAATGTTTTCCACTTTCTATTCTAAGCTATTTATTCTATTTCCAATTCTTTCTTAATGAGCTTAATGAGTTTTTTTTTTTAAATCTCTTGCTTTAGTATTCATGTAATTTTGATGGAAATCCATTTTTCCTTTGAGTCTGGGCTTACAGTTCTTCTGGAATTCGATTTTCAGTAATTTTAATACTAATTGGTATTTTGTTTTATTCATCTCTCTAGCTTAAGTTCCTAAATTAAGTAGCTTTGAGCCAGGTCCAGGCTCTGACTCACACATACTTCTGAGTGAGGTGGTCATCCCTGCTTGGTCTTGCTCCTGGTCCCCTGGGTTCTTGTGCTGACCTCCACCTTCTAGGGTTAGACCCTCCTGGATATTTGAGATTCAAAGCGCTGGAATGTCAGGGCCCTCCCTGACATCTCAGGACAGAGTTGCAGGGACTTCAGAGACGCTGCGCTTTGGCTTTCCTGGTCTGAG